TCTCTTTCTCCGCACTAAGCATATTGCTATACCCACAATACTTAGCACAAGCACAACAACACCTACTGCAACGCCTGCGACGGCCCCACTGGTCAGGCCACTCCCTTCGTGCACAGCGGCTGTGGCAATGACCTTTTCGGTAGGAGGCCTGATAGCAACAATGTCAGCCGAGCTGTTGGAATGGACAATTTGTGCCAGTGTGAAGTTCTGTCTCTGCCAATCGACAACCAAGTACGCTTCCTGCAGGAAGGCACGACCGAGTGTAATTTGACTTGCATTTGCCGCGACTCGCAAAGGGAACACCAGTGTTGACGAGTTATATAGAGGTATACCAGCATTCACACCAAGCGCCGCCTAGGGCAATTGGATGTTCTGCGTAGCACTGGTCGTTGAAGAGTTGGCTGCTATCGTGAAAGTTATGGTGATTCCTGGACTCTGAGAAGCATTTCGGAGATACAAGCCAGTTGCGTTGTCATATGTGAGATCAAAAGCGGCGGCACAGAGGTCGCATTCCGCCTGTGGTAGCCAAAGCTCTGTTACGGTGGAATCAATGGTCGCAACGAGAGTTTCTGTTGATAGCGCCGATGCTCCCGAATCCGATGTCTCTACTATGCTCTTGACGCTGACAGCCAGGGTCTGGTTTCTTATACCGCCCATGGGCAGAGTCAAGTTTGTTGGCTCAAACCGTGACTGGTCATATCCGCCGAAAATAAGGCTACCATAGTCTGGCGTTGGCAAATAGCTTGCACCTGCTGCATATCCAAAAGACAAGCTTGGAATTCCGTTTTGAGCTTTGAGGACGTCAAGCAAGCTCGGGATATCGTGCACTTGAGTACTGAAATTGGCGGTGGACGTCCCTTACCCAAGAGAGCCGAGCCAGTAGTCTTGTGTGGAGATGCCAGCGACCGTCTAGCCTTGGAGAGGTCGTGCTGTGCCATTGATGGATTGAATCGTGACGGTATCGAGACCGTAGAGCGCATTATCTGTGGTTCCAAACAGGTTTTGTTCTGCAGCCAAGCTGTAGATGCCAATCAGGTCCCACGTAGATGATGCATCATACTCAAACCCACGACTCGAGCCATTGCCAATTCCTCGAAGAGAACCGCAATTTTGGAAGTTTGCCAGAATCCCTTCACATCCTTCTGTGATGACTACCCAGGTTTCCGCTCCTGATGTTGAGGGCCATACCTGGAAAGATTGTGCAGGAGTGCCGACTGAGATATCAAAAGAAGAGAAGTTGCCCAGGTCGTTATCGAATGTCCAGGCTGGTGCCAGTTGCAATGGTGCCGCAGCAGAGGATGTAGTAGCCATGCGGCTTGATCAGTCATCAAAATCAATGGAAGGTATCCAAGCAAGATGATGGGATGGTCGTTAGTAACGGGCCGGGACCGCAGGTCATGCTCGAGTGCATGAAGTGTCAACCTACCTCTACAAGATGGCCTGCATATACTTCCCTCTCCCGTGCACATCATGCACGGCGTCTGTTGGCGAGAGGTCAGGCACAGCCGAACCCACAGTCCGGACGTAATGTCACAGCCCATCGGCATGCTCATCTTCTCGAAGGATCATGAAGGTGGCACAGATGAACGAGCATGCTCTAGTGGTCATTTTGTGGGTGTCACCAACAGGTAGTGGCGTTGGAGCAAAGTGCTGAATTGAGCACGGGCATTTCCCACATCCGACCAGCCTCGCGTCTCACATTCACCCCTCACACCGTTCTCATCTCTCATCTGTCATCCGAAATACAGCTCGGGCATCAAATATGCGGCAGAGAATTCAGCTCCGGCTCCTGAAGGCGACTCGAGCAAGGCCATTGTATGGACCGGCCGTAAATATAGCACCTCGGGCGCTGCGCTCCATGAACCACTGATCCACACCCTTGGAGAGCCTTCAACAGAGACTTCATGCATGGCTTATGTGATCATGCCGATGGTGATGTGCGAAGAAATCCGATGTCTCGATTGAGAAATTCAGGCTTCCGGCAATGGACTAGCAACAGCAGTGACACTGCATCTAAGGCTGCTAGGCAGTTTACGACGATTCGACGTGCGGTCGATTGAATCAGGTGCGGCTGCCTTCTTCGTGGCTTGCATGATCGCAGGGGTTGATCAAGAGCCCATGGGTTGGGTCAGAGTTCTGTTTATGGACTGCAATGTCAGGCACAGCCATGATCAACTTCTAGACTTTAGCCGGTAAGTGTTTCTTCGGATCTGTAATTCATTCACGTTGTCTTCGCGCACTCGAATTCTTCTGTCAAGATGGCTCTAACGAGCAGCTGCGTGCCTTGTGTGTTTGGAGCTGTCTCAAGCACTCTCTTAACGTATCCATACCAAGCAGTAGAGACGGTTCTGGTGGAGGTGACACCCCATATCACTGTGTATCCCAATGGGAGTCGAAAGACATCCATAGAATATGCGACCTCAACAGAGGAAATGGTATATGCTCTTGTCTCTGCTGAGCCACCAACCACGTTCACCAAAGTTGCCGACATGACATGGACTGTGGACGACGCAACGCTCACCTACCCCAACACCTATGTCCAGTATCTCGAATTCGCAGGCGCTGTGACGACGGGCGGCGAGCAATGTGCGGCCCGAACTGGTGTCACGCCAGTTGAGATGCCAGGGACAACCGACGCCGCAGCATACATATACTTGGCCAACCAGCCGTGGACGGCTTGCCAAATGAGTTGTTGGATTATATTGGCAGAATGCCAGACATCGAGGAGCAATTTCACGATATCACTTTGACCAGCTGCGCAGCCTAAACCGGCAACACATCATACACGGCAAGATCGGACCCAGCACTAGAGGGCCGGCAAGCTTCCCAAATGTCTGCGCATTTGCTATCGAGCACTTTTTCCCCATCAAGACGGTTTGAAGAAGCGTTGAGGCCTCAGATTACTGTCGCCACACCTATCCAAGCTTTGGTGAATGGCACCTGGGAGAGGAGAGGCCTAGACTCAGGCACGGGCACGGCGCCTGGGGCTGCTCCTTCTGCTGCCGCCGCAAGCTATGCCACTTCGGAGACACAGACCACCAATCCACAGAATACCCACTCGACTGCATTCTTATCGTTGACCGTTACCGGAAGGGCCATTGTGACCAGCTTGAGCGGTCCAGTCGATACTACGACCGCCTTGACACGGTATGCTAGCACCACTGCAGCGGCAGAGAAATCGCCATTCTCGTCTGTCCAGGGCGCTGTAGGAGGACCCCAGGCTCAGCAGGATCAGGCTACAAGCAGTGGTGATCAAGGACAGGAACGAAGTTCCGCAAGCCAAAAGATGACATCCACAGGAGGAAATGCTCTTGCTGCCACGGCAGGAAGCACGCCAGACATTTCGAATTTAATAGGACAGCTTGTGAGTGCCGCGGATCAAGCTCAACAAAGTATGATGGACGTCACCCAACCGGCGGTCGCTAGTGGAGGCAATCCAGGGCAAGATACGCAACAGCGAGGCGGCGCCACAAGTACAGGCATGGAGAGCAGCGCTCCGCGAGCTGTTGTCGAAATATCTGGGAATGCTTATACGGCAGCGCAACTCGAAAGCTTAGTAGTCCTGGCGGGTGCTTCAACAACAATGACGGTCGCTCAAGGTGTCTCGACAACGTTTGATGGCCAGACTGCCATCGCCGACAATGGCGGCGGGCTGCAGACTGGCACGACTTCGCTTGACTTCACTTCTGCAGCTGCAAGTTCTCTGCAGGCTGCGCAGGCTCAAGCAGAGGGCCATACGTTTACGCCTATTGCAAGCGGCAGCTCTTATATTCTGCAAGGTGTTTCGACTACCCAGAACTTCGGTCCTGGAGCTGCCACTACATTGGGGAGTCAGATGATCTCGATATCTGCTAGTAATGCAGAGGAAACTGGAGGTATGGTGGTGAACAGCCGGACGAGCTCGCCTGCTCTGCTCCAGCCCGAAGCGGTCATCACGGCGGGTGGCCGTATCTTTACCGCGGTCCAGTCCGGCTCATTCATCATTGTTGAAGATGCTTCGTCGGCATTCACGATCGCCAATGCTATAACGGCTTCTGACTTCGAGGGGCAGAGCATAAGCATAGCATCAACAGGCGGCATGATCGTTGTTGACGGGTCTTCCACGGTAAGACTAAGCACCGCGACAATCTCTGAGCCAGTGTCGACGACGACGGGTCTCGGTGATTATATCAATACTGTGCTCAACTTCGGTACGGTATCGTCGACTACTTCAGAGCTAGCTCCTGCTCCTACTGTGAGTAAGTCTGCGGCTAATGCACATCTGCGTCTGGAACTCGGTCTTCCTGCGATTGGAGCGGGAACGGCGGTGCTGTTGTCGATGTAGATTTGATGCTCGTGGTATTGGATCCTACTCTCTAGAGGCTTTTGCAAAGCAAGGTTAGAAGGCATCAGGCACATCAAACATATTGAATGCTGTCCCAAAGATCGGAACAGATGACAACTAGACGATACAATAAAACAGAAGTAGCTCAGCAGGCCAATGACGGTCTAATAGCTCCAAACCCTTCCAGACACTGCATAGACCATAGACGGCGACTTGTTGAAGACCAAGTGGCATCTCGCCTCTGAAACGCCCGCTGTAACGAGACAAAAAGTTACTCTTTGCAGCCTCGCACTGAAGCCTGAGAAAAGCAAAAGAGGTGGAATAGAAGACCTCCCCCAGGTAGGCCTGTAGAGTGTTACTGTCAGTCCATACTCACCTGAAATCCGTTCGTATGCTGCTACTCACTCGAACTACCAACCTCCCGATGATCTATTTGCCTGCGACAGCTAACAGTCGAACGCGCTGGCCAATTGCGCCATGGGGGACCTAGTGGTTGGTGCCCGGGAGGGGTTGTTTGGTTTATGTGGTGCCGAGGAGGCTGCGTGCCGAGGGGCAAAAAAATTGCTGTTTTGGAGAGAAAAGATTCAACGCAGCGGAGCCAGGACGTCCAGATGTATAGCAAAAACACTGCATGTCTCGGCAATAGCGCCACTCCGCATGTGACAAGGGCTTGTGTCTCCCCCGGATAGGATCGAACTATCAACCTCCCGATTATCTGCTTGAATTTGACTTGTAACAGTCGAACGCGCTAGCCAATTGCGCCACGGGGGACTATTTTGATACGGGCAAACGCCAAGATTTCGATTATGTTGCTGCAATTTGTTGCCGAATATGCCCCGAAGGCGAGCTACATTTGCAGCCTCTCAGAGTGCGGAATCCTTCGGTAGGTCTTGAATGTCATCTTTCTGATCTGCTACTTTGTAGTCATTGTGGAGTTCGGTCGTGATCGACAACGGAGTGAAAAAGGTGCATGTCGTGTTGTTGTAAGAGGAATGGAGAACGACCATGCCGACGACCCTAAGTATGACCACCAGACTTTGCTCTAGGAAGGCAGCCTGCAGTCGCTGGGCCAGGTTGCGCCTTCCAGCGTAGAGGCAGGCCGTATAATTCGAGCGCGATCTTGCGCTGGTGCAAGCACGATCCGACCATAGATAGAATACATAGCGCCGTACTTCCTTGCGAGGATTATATGTCAAAGTCATTGTATCACGATTATGTTAAAGAGGCTGTCTGCTTGCAGCTGCACCCTAAACCAGGTAAGAGAATGACAGAACACCGGTGGATCAACAATATTCTGTGGACACAGAGGCAAACACAACGGATTGCAACGAATATTGGATCTGTGCATTTAACAGCTAACCCAAACCCTAACCCTATAAGAAGGCCCTGCCATGTAGTGATCACTATATACGCCCAGCACGTGCAGCGCGGCTACGTAGCATCCGCAATCAGAGGTCTGTCATGGTCTTCATCACGCATTGAGCATCCCAGACGCTAGAACAATGCCATGAACTATCCAAGGCCAGCAAATCAGCCAAACATGATCTTCCAGAACGCTCATATCAACCCAGCACCGCCATGCCTCTTGTGATGATGCCTCAAATGTCTCTTGACTTCAGCAGCCCTCGGCTCTCGTCGTGCGTCCCTTTCAGCGCTTGACAACTCGGAAGGCTGAACAGCTTCCGGCAGGCTGCGTGCACTTACACCGTCAGGACCCTCCTCAACTGCGCCGTGGCTGTCAACGAAGGCTGCCCATTGGGTATGATCAGGAGAGGCTGCAGATGTGGTGGTCGTTGCTGGCGCGTCGTCGTCGTCATTCCATTCAACCAAACCGGAATTGTCAACCCAAGGCGCCCACCCCCGTCCACCCTGTGCTTCAGCTGAGCTAGTCGTAGTAGCTGTGGAGGATGGGCTGGAGGTTGACATCGACGTGACCACAGAAGCTTTGCTAGAGATTGCGAAAGTAGTCTGGGTGGCTGAGGCGCTCGACGTCTCCGCAGGAGATTGAGCGGCGGAGGATGTGGAAGCAGCAACCACCGCTGTCGAAGCCGTATTCTCAGCAGCCGACGAGTTCGCCACATCGCTCCATCCGTTGCTGCTTATTGAGTAGACCTGGAGTGCGTTGATCGACCAGTAGGCACCCGTAAACGCACTCGGATTATTCTCAACGAAGCTGTTGCAAGTGCTAGCCTGCGAAGCGCACGAGCCGCTTGACCATACAGTACCCGCCCAGTCGCCACAGAATGTCGTGTCGAAAACGATCTGCATATCCGTGAAGTTACTCGTGATATTGCAGCCGCCGTGGAATGATGCCAAGGGAGTGCCCCAGCTTGATGGACTGGGGCTTCCGCTGGTGATGTCAGATGGTATTGAGCCTCGCGGGAAGAAGTATATCGAGATCGCAGAGTCGGTCCACTCGGTAGCATAGACGCCGCCATTGTTTGAGTTGAAGCCGGCTCCGTAGGTCTGAGTGTTGGAAGTGGTGATTTGGCAGCCTGCGTTTGCAGACTGCTCAACTGCATCGACATAGCAGTTGTCCGTGACAAGGCTGCCGGAGAAGTCATTGTTGTTCGTGATTGTGCAACCTGGCCCAGTATGGAGAGTCATATCGTTTGAAGTTTGCTGATTTACACCCTCGATGATATCTACCAACCGTCAGCAAGGCCCAGCGCTTCAGAAGATACCCACCCACCAATCTCGCCGTCGTCAGGCCAATTTGGCCCTACCAGCCAAAATGCTGGCCATGTACCACATATACCGCCTGGCATGTGCTCAATGTCGACAATAAACAGACCAGTGTTGTATGATTTGTTGCTGGTAATGCGCACGCTCGGACGTCCACTCGGGGTGACATTCGTGCTATCGACCTTCATCTGCACGTTCGTGGTCGAGCTGCTAAGAAGACCAGCGCTTGAAGCAGCAGACTGGCTTTGGTACTCCACGAAGCCATCAGTAGGATCAGAGCTGGTGTAGAAGGTGAAGAGATCAAAGAAAGTGCCATCCTTCAGGTAATCGTCTTCCAGGACGTATGAGCACCAGCCGGTGGTGCTCATCAGCGCGAGGCTTGTGATGAGTGTCGAGAACTGCATTGCTAACGTTTTGAATGAGTGACTAAGGGCGAGGCCCTGAAAAGAATATTATACACAACGAGGTTGACCAGCCAGATGAATCTTGTGATGCCAGCTGAAGAGAGGCAGGGCATAAGGAATCAGGCGCATACAGACCTTTAGTACGTAGCCCATCACCAGGCCATCGAGACTATGGAGCTTGCGGTGTGGTGCAGCACGCCAACGCCAATCTGCAGGGCTGCGTGTACCCATCCACCGCCTTGACACAAACTGTGTAGCTAGCCGTGGTGGACTTGGCCTCACTAAGGCCAGGAGTATCAGCCGACCGAGGCCGACAGAGAGTCGTTCGAGTCGTTCTGCTACTGTAAACGCCTGCAGCAGCTCCCGGTACTTCGGCACCACGGAGGTCTATTCCGGATCGGACCAGAGAGTAACTAGCTGAGGCGACGATGAACGCCCTGCCACCCCCCGATGCAATAGCCAGGAGCTTCCTGCTGGCCACCCACAGGGCGAAGTCGACTATGTTCGAGCTCGAAACGGAGAAGAAAGCAAACGCCCCCAGTTTCGGCGTGATAAACCATGAGGCTAGACGCTGGAGTCATTTGCCATCTGAGAGCCAAAGCAGTTCGGAGCAGCGGCGTAGCCGAAGCCTACACGCATGCTTGGTGCATGTGCTGGTAAGATCACAAGCGTCCATCGTTTCATAGAGCGGTGTCTCGTGCATTTGAGAAAGAAAATGGGTACTTGAGAGTTGTGCTTGGTGGAAAGGATGGGACTAAGGCTGCGGTTACATCCGTTCATCATCTGAGCTTTGACCAATCGGCAGGAGCACATCGACCCCCCTTTCCACTCACTTGCCTACTTTCATGACCGGGTCGCGGGCCACCGCGACCGAGCTCACACATATGCAGTCGACCTTCGATCTGACTGCCGCGTGTAACACCGATTCAACAATTTCGCCCTATTGAAGAAGCGCTTATGTCCCGCGCTGTTACACGAACTTTTAGGTCTTTATTTGATTTCATTATAGTCATCCATTTCAGCTACGTACCAATGGACACAGGGCTGGCGCTTGTGGAGTCATCATGAGGCCACTGGCTCGCAACAAGACACCATGGCAGGCTGAATAAATTTCCACGCATGAGCACATGCTTCTTGGTCTTCCGGACAACAGCCCGTGTTGGTAGGCTGGCGCCGTTGCCGCTTGCACAGTCCACGCGTTCAGCCAGCCTTCGCCATGCAGAAAGGAACGCAAGCCTCGTGGGCGTCCGCCGCATGGTTCTGACCGAGTGAATTTGCTTCAGGGAGTCCTGCGACCGGCCTGAACGAAAATCCACCACTTGCAACAAGCTGGCGACAAAGAGCATGTTCTCTAGTGTGTTTATAGCCTTCTTTTCAATGAAGCTCGCAGTCATGCCTTCGCAGTGACAGCCCTTTGGATGTGACTCCGCCGGATGCCCAGAGCGAAGCGCTGTTGACCTGGCGTGTCTAAATGTGAGTAATGGACTGTCCAGTGACCCAGACTCATATATGCAGACAGCTCGACTCGCAGTGAAAATACTCTGAAGAGAAGGCTGTTGGGGTTGATTGGAAGAGGACGATGTTACTGCAAGCCCTACGAAGGATTTGGACGTGGAAGCTCCTGGTGCTCCCACTCAAATGTCGCTGCCTATACAGGATTTGCGCTAGAGAAGCCTGATGCAAAAGACTCCAGTCGATGCCTACCGAGAACAAACCGATCCAGATGCCGAGATATTCAAGTGCCCATGCCCACCAACGCCGAAGCTCCAAGAACCCCTCAAAGTCAATGATGGGACAGCGAAAACAACGACAACCATTCCGTCTGCTCGGTCCCCTTCGAAATCTCGTCGATCATGCTCTGAGCCATAATCTCACTGAACTCAGTGCTGTTGTCGATGATTTTTAGATAGATATTGTCGTTACACAGCACCATAGCAGCCTTGATAGGAGCATCGACCGGGCGCTCGAAGAAATCGCTATCGCCACCGGAAATATTGCCGTGCAGAGTGCTCTTCATGCGCTTGTCGCCAGCCGCCAAGACTTCGAAAAGGTCGAACTCACCACAGCCGGACGTCCAGCACGAGCAGTCCTCCTGGCCGTACTGGAGGGTTCGTGGGATGAGCGCGTTCAGGATCCAGATCGCGGGCATGTCGACGGGGTCGTATTTGCTTGCTGCCGTTTGGCCGGTCGAAGGCATCTGGAACTCGAAGAAGAACGCCTTCTCTGCGCCATCGAAGCCGTGGTAAGCAACGGTGTCGGGGCGGTAGTAGCCGCAGTCTCCGCCGTCATCACCGCATTGCTTGTCGGTGAAGATGACGACTTCGGCGCTGGAAGGCAGCGTGGTGGCCTTCAGAGTGGTTGCGATCGAGGCGCCGCCGCAGCCATCCTCGTTGGCGTAAGAGAGCGAGCTACCGAAGGTGTTGTCGAAGGTGCCAGAGCCAGCGCCGCCATAGTGGTTCAGGAAGACGAGGCCTTCTGTTGTTGACGAGGAGGAATCGTAGTAGGCAATGCGAGACCAGCCGCTGCCGTCGGAGCTTGAGCTCGAGCTCGGGGATGAGTGAGAAGCTGGTGTTGATGAGTCCGTAGACGGAGATCCGTTCGGCGAAGTGGCAGGGACGGACGTCGGGGTCGTGGATGCAGCCGGGGCTGAAGGGGTCGCTTCGCCACTCCACTCGTTGACCC